AAAATTAATATTCATCAATCATTATGATTGGGTCACTTTGGTAGCTACCAATCTTCACAGAATATGAATATTAAATTAGACAGAGATTAATTCATCATTAAGTTATATTTACTACTAAAATTAATATTCATCGATCATCATAGTTAGGCCACTTTGGTAGTTACTAACCCTCACATAATATGAATATTAAATTAGCTAGTATCTAATTAATCATTAATTTACCCATTTAACATTATACACACATATTCATAATTGTCGATTGAAGTTTAAATAATTTCGATCTCAAAAACTTAATAGTCTAAAATTTCATAGAAAATATCTATTTATTTTATATACATAATAAAACATATTATTTTATTTTCGGACTTAAAGACCATAATTGAATCGATCTAAAATTAATTCTCCATTATGTATGTATGTTTGTGTATAAAACAATAATTCATTATGTCTAACAAAAATTTAATTAAATTTCTAGACTCACATATCATTCTAGAAATTTTAAATAAATACACATACTTGATGTATTTAATATTTTATTAATATTATTATTTTTAAAATAATAATAAAATTAGAATATTCATATTTAATCACATGTTTGACAAAGTCTATTAACCAAGCAAATCTTTAATGGACATTCATATAATAATTGTCACATGTTCATGGATAATGAATATATATATATATATCAATTATATATACATATGTACCCATTTATAGTAACTCGTGTGAAAGTAAGTTAACTTCCACTAAATTCAATACGCTCGAAAATTGAGATAAAAAGTCAAAATTCTTTGTTGCCAAAAAAACATTACTAATTCTTTTCGGCTCGTCACATGCATCACAGACATATCTATAACAACAATTAAAACATACATATGTGTGGAAGCAATTCCAAACAAATAAACTATACAAATTATATTTTAAATTTATATATATTATTTATGCAACTTTAAAGGAAAATAACAAGTTCCTAAATCATAAGCTCTGATACCACATGTAAATTATAATTTATTCGTACAAACTATTCATCACAAATAAATATGAATCCCAAATCTTAGAACTTCATTATTCTCATATACATATAATGCATAAATAAATATGGCTAGATATAAATACCTCGATATGTGATTGCAATTATAATAGAGATCAAGTCTAACGTCTAGACTCTTTAACTACGAACTAATCTGCAACTCTGATCAATAGGTGAAGGTGGAAACTGGTTTCTCTCTCTTGGCCTTTTGCACACATAAAACTTTTACGTGTTGTATCATTAATCGTACATAATTGATGCAGTATATACACTTTTATAAAGGTAGAGAGAGAACCAGTTTTCCTTTTAGTAACATAATTCCACTTTCAATCAAAATAAGGAATAAGAAAGGAAAACACTTCTGCAATAAGTAATTACCAAAAAGTTAATTATAAGTTGACCAAAAATAAATAATATTAATTGATATCTATTTACTTAATTACCAAGTAATATGTGACATGTCCAAATCATGTGTGCCACAATTAAATAAATAATCTTACAATTTGTCATGTTGATTGTTAAATGTTAATGGTTTGAGCTATATATCTTATTTTTTTGTGATTTTTTTACACTATTTTTCTGGGTAACAAAAAATATATATATTTTGAACCGGAAGAGTTTTAATTCTTATATCAAATGTTGATATTTCATAGACTTAGAAGTTATGTGGAGGCATTCGATAGTCCTATAATTTTTAAGTCTTTTATATATATATATATATATATATATATATATATATATATATATTTAAAATGTCATAGAAGGTATATCAACCATTGAACAAAAAATGAAGAACTAAAATAAAAATACAAATTATTTGGACTCTACAAAAGAATCTGTGGAAACCGTATCTTCCATTTAAAGCCAAAATAACAATATATTAACATTATATATATATTGTGGAAAGGAAATGCAAAGAAAATAAATTTAATTTTAAAAAAGAATGTACAAACATCAAAGGCCAATGGAAAATTAGTTGTGTCTAATAAAAGTTAAAAAAGTGCAACACAACTAATACAAACATTTTAATTATTTCCAAGATAATTGAACAAGTATGTGTATTTATATTTATATATAAATGGATACAAAGTATGTTTTTTTTTTTTTCTTTTTTTAAAATTTTTTTGGTATTTCTCATGTATTGTAGTAAATAATTTTTTTAATTATTATAAAGTAATTGTTCGTGAATTAGTTCCTTTTTTTTTTTTTTTTTTTTCATGAATTAGTTCATGAATGATTTTTCTCTTTTTCCTAGATATATATTGTTCATTTATCCTTTAATTAGTTTAATTTATTAATACCAATTGTATTATTTTTTCACTGCACACAAGATTGGAGTACATATTGAATTTGTTAGTTATGTGTTGCTTTTATTTATTAGTTCATTTGTTAATTAGATTTATTTATTTCTCTTTTTATTTATTATTACATACCTATAGTTGGAGGTAATGTATTAAACTTAATTAGTAAAGTATTACATACATGTTTATAAAATATATTTATTTAAAATACTTTACTAATTAAGTTTAGTTATATGTGAATTGAGTTTTTCACATCTCTTATCAAATATGTTTATTTGGATTATAATATGCTATTATTTATTATTTTTAGTCATAAAAAACATATATATATATATATATATATATATATATATACATTAATCACACTAAAAGGCACAAATTAGAAAAAGAATTTTTAAACGTGTAAGTTATTTTTTCTTATTTCTAAATATTTTTATTATTTTTTAAAACAAAATATAAAAAATTTAAAGATAATGTTTAATGGGGAAATTGAAGGAAACACCAAATCAACTTCCCAATTTCATTTATTTATTTATACGTTTTTAGTATTTTTAAGTCAAGATATAAAATTTAAAGATATTATTTAATAGAAAATTTAGAGATGGCGTACCCAATGAACTTCTTAATTTCCGTTTTTTATCTCATCAAAATTTAACATTATATTTACTCCTCCATTTTATTAAAATTAATCATTAAATTCTAGCTCATCCTCTTTAGAAAATTTTCAACTCCCTCTATAAAAAGTGTTTTGAATTTATTATTGATTAATGTGTTATTTGTATTTATTATAGTGTTGCTCATTTGTTTCTTTGATATTTACCATGTTACACATAATTGTTTCACGGAGAAACCATAATTTCTTATTACCAACACTTTAGATAAACATGTGACTAAATTCATAAATGAATATTTGCAAGGACGAAATGTAAAAGGGGCGGTAAGCTTTATAATAATAGAAGTTTGTATAATTGGTCCGATCATCTTGACAAGTTCCTTAGGTAATAGTTGATTGTCTGTATTTTTATTTATTTATTTTTTACTATCTTTCTATATGTTCAATGTGTTTGTTTTATTTTGTTATTATAACTAGAAGATTTTATTTTATTCGGTTACTTATGATGGACTTCTAAAGTTTAGATATGATTTCACTTGTTATTTTTTAGTAATATATATATATGTGTGTGTGTAGCATATATATCATGAATCATTATTTTTGAAGGACAAGGTACTACCCAAAAAAAAAAAAAAGAAAAAAAAAAAGAGAAAACAAAAATAATAGGAGAAGAGTCCATCAATATTTAAAACACTTCATGTATTATTTGAATTCATAATGAAAATATTAATCAACAAAAATGGAAAAATATAAATCATAAGAAAATAGAGGTGATGGGATATATATATATATATAAAAGTGATGGAATACATAAAAAAAATAAAAAATTAAAACCATTTTTATTTTATGAATTAACACCATTCCTAATTTTGATTTCCACTGTATATAATTTCAATCTAAGGAAAAGTACCAAAATTTTTTCCTTAAAATTATTATATGAACCGGGAATACACTCTTGCTTATACTTCCTTGAACTTTTTCAAAATGGGTTTGCTAACTATAAAGCTTTATAAAATGCCTTTACTTCAAACTGGACAATTAACTAATCATCTAAAAAATAAATATATTAATCCAATTATCATATTAAACATAATTATCCGTTATAAAATGATCAAGAGCTAAAACATATTGGTCAAAGAGATACTAATAACCAAACCGAAAAACATTTCCCAATTTCAACAAAAGGTTTCTAACTAATAAGTATTTTAATTAGGCCTTACACTGAAACAAGAGGACTTAGTATTTGAAACACTTACAACAAATACATAATGTTGCATTGAGCAAACCATTAATTAAACTTTGAGCATTTTAAAACACAAAAAAATCATAAAAGAATCAAAACCTCTTTTTCAAAATTCTAAATAGACTTAACTTTTCTTATTTAAAAAAATTGAATTAGTTGACATGTATTATGTAAATGAAAATGATCCATACAATATGGCAAACCCACAAACTCAAATCAAATACAACAAAGGTTATAGCACTATAGACTTTCATATCGACCAACAATATTTAAAATTCACAAAGATAATGCAACGAAACATTTCACACACCTAAAAGTATTTCAAATAGAAAGAAAGAGCCAAGATAAAAGAAATAACTGGGTGGCAAATAGAAAGAAAGAGTCAAGATAAAGATATTCATGATAATTATTGAATATTATAGACATATAGATAAAAGTAATTGATTATAATCAACCAACAAAATATTTTATAAAATGTGAAAAATGCAATTTATATATAATTGGATTAATTTTTATATATGATTTGTAGAGTGAATTGATTCCTTTATGAAATCTTCTAATTTTTATTTTTAATTTTTTTTTAAAAATAAAAAATTAAGTTTTATATAAAATTTATTTGTTTTACAAAATATTTATTTCATCACCACGTGAATTTTCCTAGTAAATGTAAAAGAGCCACGGACTTTTTTTTGGGATAGCAAAATCATATCTGGAAGCCGCAAGCATCATTTCTGGCAAAACCAATGCTATAGTGCGCCGATAAGACGGAGCATTTTAGCCCGTTTCGTTTAAAAATAAAAATATAAAATTTTTGAAAAGAACGAAAATCAGATGGTACTTCTGGAGTTGAAGACACAACTCCGAAAATTTCAAATCTGATCAAAGTTGGGTCTTATTCATCTTTCGGTTCTTGCAGTTTAATACTCGTCTGGGTCTCTTTTACATGTTCATTTAGTTACGCACAATTGAAACAAGTGCTCTTCATCTATTTCCTCTCTGATTTCTCAGCTTCCAAACACTATTCTCTTCTTTATCTTGCCCAAATCGCAAAAGGGTCTCTCTCTCCTGCCTTTTTACTCTTGTTTACAGTTCTGTGGAAGTCATATATATATATACATGTATGTGTGTGGTTCCTATTGTCTATGTGGAAGTTTTGAGCTTTTGACTTGAATGAGTTCCAGGTAATTTCTTCTCTTTCTGCGGGTTGGTTCTAGTTGGATTTTGCGATTATATCTGACGATAAGCCTAGAAAAGGGTATACCTATGTATATAATTACTTGCTTTTAGTCTGTCACTATCTGTTGACAAACTTACAATTTGGAGACTTGATATTTTTTGGGGATAAATATGAATAATAAATTCTGCATATAACGCAAATTTTTTCTTCAGCTTATCCTTCTTTTAATTGTAAGTATATAGATAGTATGTACATATGTTATTCCATAAATGAATTTATATTGTGCAAGATTTATCATCAATTCCTAGCTTTTACTCGAGGCTATATTTTTCTAGATTAAATTTTTTTGGTATGAATTGTCAAAATAATCAGTAAACATCTTAAGCTCATCTCATTTCAACTGCCACACTACTCTGCTTTCCTAGTTAGTGACTGGATTATGTCCAATTTTTATGGAGAAACAAGGGATAGAGAAATGGTCTTGGTACCTTTTGTAGAAGTAAGATAGTGGACTCATTAATTACAAGTGTATAGGTACAATCCTTGCTGTCCTTATTTTGTAATTTGAGTGCTCAAAATTCGTGAATACAGTAGGCATATTTCATATTGGCTTTAACAGAATTGTATATGGGCTTAGAAGTGGGTAGAAAGATGGTTGATTACTTTATCTTATTTGATGTAAACATATATTCAATGAATTTTGCTTGCTTAAGTATGAACTGATGACTTCCAATTTGGAAGACTCCTTGGGCTTTATGGTGGTCAAAGGTGGAGTTGGATGATGCACAAGAATATCATTTTCACCATATACACATGGTGCGCATTGGTCTATGGATTTTGTTCTATTGTAGAATTATGTGCCGCTTGATAACGTGGATATTCTATAGAGAGGCTTGTTTGGAGACATACATGATGATGATGAAAAAAATTAAAAATAAACTAAATAAAGTAATGGTTTTCTGATTGAGAATCGAAATTCATCTTTTGCGGTTGTGTTTGAATGTGATACGGGCTGATGTACTTTATGGATTTCTTACTTTGGTGCATGAACTGGTTTCAGTCCATGTCATGGTCTTCAATTTCATTTTATATCCTAAAACCCACTGGATAAATTTCATATCTGAGTTTATGGAGATTTTGCTCTTCGTTGATCACCTCAACCCAAAAAATGAAAGCAGTTTGTGGAAGTAATGGAAATCTCAATGTAGGACTACAGTTTACAATTTCATTTTTATGGTTTTAGTTCTACTAATTTTTTATTGTTAGAAAAGTGATTTGGTAAAATTGGCGTACTCAATTTGAGAGCCTGACTATCATTATATACAAAAGGAAAATTACAAATATGGAAAGAGAATAAAAATCAAATCCCTAAACAAAAGCCTAAACATAAGCCTCCAATGAAGACCCAATAAATCTGCCATAATCATCGAGTCAACCTATAGATATGATTTCCAACACTCTCCCTCGAGCTGGACCAAATATGTTGACCAAGCCCAGCTTGACTATGGAAGACTGAAGAAGAGAAGCCCAATAGACTTTGTGAACACATCTGCAGTCTGTTCTGAAGAGGGAACAAAAATAGGATTAATGATATCTGATCGAACTTTCTCTCGAATGAAGTGAATGTCTACCTCAATATGTTTTGACCTTTCATGTAACACAGAATCAGAAGCAAGCATAATGGCTGATTTATTATAACAAAACAACCTTAAAGAATCTTTCTCTACAAGACCCAACTCTCCCAAAATTGATTGAAGCCAAAGGAGCTCACAAATACCTTGAGCCATAACTCGGTGCTCAGCTTCAGCAGAGGATTTGGAGACAACAGTTTGCTTCTTACTCTTCCATGATATGAGATGATTACTGTTGAAAGAAAAATAAAATTTGAAGAGAGAAATTAAAACATGAAGCGCACAAAGATATATGTGGTTCAGTTATTAGAGCTTACATCCTCGACACAAAGCCCAAAGGGCTACATCTCTTTCATTACATTCTCTCTTAATTTTGTTTACAATAACCACCTCTATTTACAGGTGAATTGGGGAAAACTTGTAATAAAGGAATTACATCGAAAGTCAAATATAAATATGGCAACAACTTGTTGCCCAAGTTTAGTAACATTAACATTTTGTCAAGGAGTGATTTAAGGGCTTAAATAAAGCACTTCTATAATTATTCTCCAACACCTCCGCTCGAGTTGGTACATGTAGATTTAACTCAAGTGTCCAACTTGAAATTAGATATGAACTTGTCGAGAGTTTGAGATGAGTTTATCCAGAGATCCGAGACAAGTTGATCCGGGACGAGACAAGTTGATCCGAGACGAGACGAATTGATCCGAAAATCCGAGACAAGACGAGTTGATCCGAAGATCCAAGATGAGTTGATCTGAAGATCCAAGACGAGTTGATCCGAAAATCCGAGACGAGTAGAGTATAGAGTGGGGTATTATAAACCTGCTTTGATACTATGTTGAAAGAAAAATAAAAGTTGAAGAGAGAAATTAAAACATGAAGAACATAAGGATATACGTGGTTCAGCCACTAGAGCTTACTATCATAGAAAGTACGGAAGCCAGAGGTAGACCGTCTATCTGTCTTACATCTAGGATAGTCTGCATCAGTAAAGCATGAGAGTCCGGACTGATTTCCTGAGGCATAGAACAGACCAAGGCCAAGGCACGACTTAAGATACCTCAAAATATAGTAGACTGCATCCATATGAGTTGGTCATGAATGAATTGACTAACCACATTAACAACAAAGGTCAAATCGGGCCTTGTGTTAGTCAAGTAGATAAGACGACCTACCAAATATTGATACACGGACAGATCTGGAAGTAATTCCCCTGACTCAATAGAGAGTTTGAGATTAGGGTCCATAGGAGTGGAAGCGGGTCGACATCCAAGCATGCCAGTATCTTTAAGAAGATCCAAAACATATTTCCTTTGAGATAAGGAAATTCCACAACGGGATCTAGCAACCTCAATTCTAAGAAAATATCGAAGGGGACCTAAGTCCTTCACATCAAAGGACTTTTGAAGATGAAGTTTCGCCTGAGCAATCCCTGAATCATCATCACCTGTGATAATGATGTCATCCACATATACTAATAACATAATGCAGCGACCATCATAGCGACGTCGAATCAAGCAAGTATGGTCTGAGTGGCAGTGCACAAAGCCCATGGATAGAACAACATCACTAAAACGACTAAACCATTCTCTAGGAGATTGCTTCAGACCATAAAGAGACTTCCGCAACCGACAGACTTTCCTAGTATACTCCCCCTTAGCCCGAAATCCAGGGGGTGGATCTATATATATAGTCTCAAGTAAGTCTCCATTAAGAAATGTATTCTTGACATCTAACTGATGTAAAGGCCAAGAATGGGCAGCAGCCAAGGAGATAAGACGTCAACTTTGCCACAGGAGCAAAGGTAGCGCCAAAGACTTTGCCCGGAATCTGAGTGAAGCCTTTTGCCACCAACCGAGCCTTATACCAATCAATAGAACCATCGGCTAAGTACTTAACACTAAAGATCCATTTGCAGCCAACCGTTTTCTCCCCAGCAGGTAAAGAAATAAGTTCCCATGTATTATTACGCGCTAAAGCATCCATTTCTGCTGTTATAGCAGACACCCAATTGGGATCCTGGAGGGCCTCTGGCATTGATCGAGGAATAGAAATGGACCCAATTTTGCCCACGAAGGATTTATATGCACCTGAAAGACCATCATAGGACACATACTGGGAAATAGGGTGGTTAATGCTACTAGAGAAACCATACCAATTAGGAGGGTGACGTAACGGGATGTATGCTCGGGAATGGTAGGAGCCACAAAAGAAGGAGAGTTACCTGGACCCGGTTCAAAAGATGATTCTGGCAGGGGAGGTTGAGTGCGATGGCGACGAGAGCAGACCTGTAAAGGCGGAGGGGAACCCCGCATTGGTGGAGAAGGAGATTTTAGGATAGCGTGATCTTCAAAGATAGGAACAGGACGGGCAATAGGAGAGATCTCTTTCTCCAGACCACAAGAGAGAGAATCCTGTACCACATAATTAGTACTATAAAAAGAAATAGTTTCATGAAATGTCACATCAAGAGAATAGTACATATGTTTGGCCACATGATCATAATAACGATACCCCTTTGACATAGCAGAATACCCTAAGAAAATACACCTAATAGATTTATCATCAAGTTTATGACGAGAAGGATTACGGTTATGAACAAAACAAGTACAGCCGAAAACACGAGGCAGAAGGTGAAACAATGTATAATTAGGCTGGAGAATCTAAAGTGGGGCTTTACCACCTAAAACTCGACTGGGACTACAATTAATCAGAAAAGCAGCTGTAAGAACAACCATATGCCAATAGAATTTAGGCACATGCAGACCACTCAAAAGACATCGTACCACGGACATAATATGACGGTTTTTGCTTTCAACCATGCCATTTTGTTTAGGAGTGAGTTGATGTAAAATCTCTTTTTTATTACATTCAGTCCGGAACTCATTCGAAACATATTCACGCCCATTATCAGAATGAATATTACGGACAACAGTGTTATATTGGTTATTGCACTTATGTTTGGGGAAATCTTGTTACATGGCGAAGTAAAAAGCAGTCTGTAGTTGCAAGAAGCAGTACTGAGGCTGAATTCAAGGCTATGGCTCACGGTACATGCGAAGGAATCTGGCTGAAAAGATTACTTGAAGAATTAAAAGTTCCAACTGAGAAGACAATGAAGATGTAAAGTGACAATCAGGCAGCAATAAGTATTGCTAAGAACCCAATTCACCACGACAGAACCAAACACGTGGAGATTGATCGCCACTTCATCAAAGAGACGATCGAGGAAGGAATAATCAAGATGGTGTACACTCCTACATGCCGTCAAATTGTAGACATCCTTAGTAAAGCACTTCCAAGAACTAATTTTGATGCTTTAATCACCAAGCTGGGAATGATTGACATCTATTCACTAGCTTGAGGGGGAGTGTTGAATTCCGGATTTAGATCCCTATTTTCTAGGGAAGAGATTTCTATTTTAGTTAAGTTGAATTTGTGAATATAGAAAGTAGGACATTTGGTTACTTGATTTTTTTTATATTTTATTTTCAAATCTGTTAGTTATTAGATTTGATCTTCTTTCTTGTAATTAGCTACTAGAATTAAGGAGATTTAATTATAGGTTAGTTGTATTTTTCTCCTATAAATTCTTTGTACCTTACAGTTTCTAGTATTAATGAAATAAGGGATTACTTTACCTTTTTTTCTTCAGATGTCAATCCACCTTAATTATAGTCTAAAAAATTCAATCCATGATTTTTTCATATGATTATGGAAATTGATTTGCTTCTGTATTAACAGTTAGGAAGTTAGGAAGTTAAGAGGTTGACCTATAAATTTTATGTATAAAGATATGAGAACTATCATTCTGTTGGCTTTTCACTATTGAGTATTGTGTCATATAAATAGGATTACAACAATCATGAACTTGGATGAGAAAGTTTTTGAAGATAGACTTACAATACTGCTTAAAATCATGGCAACTTACCTTACAGTCTATAATAGCATTTGAACCATTTGAGAGGCACTTTAGATCATTCAAAAATTCCATCCTTAGAATTTCTTTTGGAAACTTTTTCCCTTTTCTATTTTTGGTGTTTCATTGTTTGAAAAACCTAATACACTTATGAGAAGTTATGTATTCTACAAAGTAAATTATTCTTCGTGCCACTTCTTTAACTCATGGGCAAAGAGTAACTCTTTGGTTTTGTCTAACACACTTTTTGCAACATGTTTTTTTTGATAAGTAAAGTTGTATTAAGAAGCCTTCAAAAGGGGAATGCATCCCTCAAAAAACTACACAATGGCAAATAGGGCCTCTAAATTCTCAAGGAGTCAAAAAAATCAACTATTTAATCCATAGATTTACAATTTCTCCTTAGAACCCAACAAAAGATCAAAAGATCACGAGCCTGGGTCCCCATTGTACATCCTCTCTAAGCATCAACCAAGCCTCTACAAGAATTGGGCATAACCCACTAAACCCTGAACAAAGTCAGCATCAAAACCCAATAGTCCCTAACTACTGGGCAGTGCAACAAAAGATGATCAATTGTCTCCTTGTTTCTAAAGCACATGCTACGACAGTTGACCACAACCTGTCTCCTCCTTCTTAGATTATCCTGGGTCAAAATCTTCCCCAAATGTCCAGGTGAAGAAAGCCATCTTGAGAGGTGCCCTGGAATGCCAAATAGCCTTCCATGGGGATGAATTCCCCCGAACATCCGTAAGACACCTATAGAAAGACCGAATCTCAAAACGACCATGGGAAGAAGGAACCCAAACCACATAATCAGGAACTCCATCCACAATCTCCTGGCGATACAATAACTCCAAAAAACCAAAAGCTTCCTGAATCTCCTAGCAATACAATAACTCCAAAAAACCAAAAGCTTCCTTAATCTCCCAATCCTGAAAGTGCCTCAGAAAGTGCACATCTCAGGATGTTCTCCCACTATCAAGGCGATAGCAATCAAACACCAAGGCGCGTCTATCCGCGGCAATATTGAGAAGTCTGGGAAAAGAGAGGGCAGGAGAACGATCACCACACCAGATATCCTCACAAGAACAAATCTTGCTGCCATCCATGACTCAAAACCTATTGTGTTTAGAAAATTCATCCTGCCCATTCCAGATGAATTTCCATATCCAACTCTATCTGGAATCCTCACCTCCATAGAGCACCATCCACCTTTGATCTCCCCAAATCTACTGGCAATCACCCTCCTCCACAATCCGTGCCTCTCCACCCCAAACCTCCATGGCCACTTTCCCAAGAGGGTCTTATTGAAAGGAGTCAAACTTCTAATACCCAACCCACCTTTTCGAATCGGGCTACACACTTGCTTCTAGTTGACCAAATGATCGTTAAACTCCTCCCCTTTCCCTTCCCATAGAAAATTTTGTTGTAGCCTCTCAATCCTCTCAACCACAGAAGAGGGATCTGAAAAAGAGAGAGGAAATAAGTAGGGAGGCTCGACAAAGTGCTCTTCATCAAAGTAACCCTTCCACCCTTTGAAATATACTGCTTCTTCTAACTTGCCTACCTTCATTCAAACCTCTCTACCATGGGATCCCAATTTCCCATCATCCTTGATGGCGTCTCAAAAGGCAGCCCCAGATAAGAAATGGGAAAAGATCCAATGCAGCAGCCCAAAGTGTTGACTAGAGAGTTAATCTCATGAAACTCCCCAAATGGAACCAAAACACTCTTTCCCACATTTACCTTCAAGCCGGAAACAACTTAAAACCATATTAGAACGCATCTCAAATACCTCATCAAAGACACATCTGTACACAAAAAACAAGAGTGTCATCAACAAACATCAAATGGGAAATCTCCAACTGACTAGGAACTTCTCTCCCCACCCGAAAGCCATGCAATAAACTTAGATCCACTGCTTTTTTCATCATCCTGCTAAGAGTCTCCATCACAATGCGAAAAAGAAAAGGAAATAGAGGATCTCCCTACCTCCCTCGAGCTAGAAAAGAAACCCGTCGGAGCTCCATTTACGAGGACCGAGAATCTAATGCTTGAGATACAAATTTCAATCAATTTCCTCTATCTCTCTTGAAAACCCATCCTCTCCACCATATAAAGAAGGAAGCTCCAACTGACATGATTATAATCCTTCTCAATGTCTAACTTGCAAAGAACCCCTGGGACCCCACTGCACAGTCTAGAATCCACGCACTTTCCTGTAATAAGGACTAAATTAAGAATCTAACGTTCTCCGACGAAAGAGTTTTGGGAATACGAGATAATACCCTCCAAGACCTCTCTCAATCTCGAAGCAGAACTTTAGCATTTAATTTATAGATGCTTCCCACCAAGCTGATAGGTCTAAATTCCTTGACATCAGACGCACTCGCTTTTTGGGGATAAGCACAATGAATGTGGCATTAAAACTTTTCTCAAAACTACCTTGAGAGTGAAAAGCATGAAAAGTTCCCATCAGCTCCCCCCTCATCACCTCCCAGTTTTCAAAAAGGAATATCATAGAGAATCCATCAAGTCCTGGGGCTTTATCCCCATTACAGCTCTTCAATGCCTTAAACACTTCTTCTTCAGAAAAAGACCTCTCTAATCCAACACTCTCCATTTCAAAAATCTAATCAAATTGGAGTCCCCCAAGCAACGGTCTCCAACTGTGAGTCTTAGTGAAAAGCTTCTGATAAAAAGGGGCAACCCTCTACAAACCTCCTCCTCATTTCACAAAAACACCCCTTCTACCCAAATCCTCCCAATATGATTACCCCTTTGAGATTTCTGCCTCAATGAAATCTCTTCCAACACAGTAGCGGGTAGTCTCAGCAATCGCCACTTGGCAATCCACCCTCCTACTACTCAAAGCTTCCACAAGATCTCCTAATCCCTCCATGTGATAAATCTCTGCAATCTCCAAAAACGCTCGGTTTTTCCTCCATTCCAAGTTCCCAAACTCCTCCTTATTCCATCTTCAACCGTTGCAATTTACCTGTAAGGATAAAGGTCAGAGTGCCACTCACATTATAGCCCTCCCACCAAGAGCGGACCCTCTCAATAAAGCCCAAAGCTCGAAGCCATATATTCTCAAATCTAAAGGGAAAACTTCTTTTCCATAATCCCCCACAATCCAAAACCAAAGGAATATGGTCCAAAGTAGGTCTAGCCAGCGCCGCTTAAACCACATCTGGAAATTTCTCCTCCCAATCTTCGGACTAAAGAAATCTATCCAGACAAGATAGAGTAGGAGACTCTCTACCACTAGACCAAGTGTAGGTCGCTCCTTCCAATGGCAAATTAATCAGCTGAAAATCGTCAATGAACTCAGAAAACTGCTCCATAGTCGACCTTTCACTAGGAGAGCGAATAACATTGAAATCCCCTCCAACACACCAACGTGAAGGCCATCTCTCCGGACAGAACTAAGCTTCTCCCACAACAAATGGTGAACATCATCCTTGTTAGGGCTATAGACATCCGAAAAAATCCAATGGAAACGATCCTCCTCCATATAGAAAAGGCATGATTAGGAGAATCTTCCCATCCACACATCAAGTTTTGAAACTCATCTTTTATCCCACATCCCTTCCAAAGAGCCTATGGAATCCGAAGTCCCCCCCACCAAAGGCTCCTAACAATCTTATCCGAGACCGAAGCAAATTTTGTTTCTTGTAAACAAACCACCTTAACATCCCACTTACGAATTGCCAACTTCATCACCTTCCTCTTTTCTGGGTCATTGAGACCACAAACATTCCACGAGATAATACGGAACTTCATGAGGAAACAATCGCGCTTCTTCCCTCTCCCTTGACCCCCACTCTTCCCCTCATAGTTGACATACGAGATAAGGTTCCTCACCTCCCTCTCTCCTTTCTCCGAAGAAGTCCTTCCCTTGCTCCCCTCCTGCTGGACCTTGTTAAATTCATGGAACATTCCCACTGCCTGACTATTATCCCCCTCAAAGGTCACTCCAACAAGGTTACCTACACACCTATCATTATTTCTAACCCACTCTTCAGTATGGTCATCCCTTACCCCCTAGGGGAACTGATGAAGAATCTGACAATAAGAGTGAGGGTAGCACTTGTGTTAATCAGGGATCAAAAAGGGTGTCGGAACTGAGTCTAACAGCCATGAATCCAAAAGAGAGTCCGGGAAGTATGAAACGGATCCGGAAGAATAGGAATTCTCTATCAGTTGGGGATCTAACTTAGTAAATTACCTTTGATTCACTTGTAACATGAAGTATGATAAAGTATGCGTATAGGTATGTATGATAAATAAATGGTGATGGATCTATTTTAAGATGTTTAACTTATTCATTGAGGTTCTTAAGTTATTCATTGAAATTGATTTCACATAATATTGGGAGACTATTCAATGGATTTCACTATTAATTCTTATCTGCAGAAAAAAAAATCAGATCTTGGAAGGAAGACTTTATGAGGAATTCATAGCCATTGAGGCAGCAAACATTCTTGATATTTGTTTCAATGGATTGGTAACTCTGTAGGAGATGGGCATGAAGATTTTGCAGTCATATATGCCTAGCATTTACCTGTGGTAGTTTCACCTTTTGTCTAAGGTAAAGTATTATCTTAACCTTACAGTTGAGGCTTGAATCAATGTGTTTTGAAGGGAACTCTTTGCTGGTGTTTATATCAGCCCTGACAGTCTAGATTATTAGTTATGCATGATGTATGGTTTATGTCATGGGTTGTTAATTCTGGGCTATTGTAAAAGTTTTATATATATCTATTTTCTTTTTTCTGGAGTTGGTGGCCTGTAGAATAATTTATGTTAATGATGCCCTTCTTACTTACTGTAGCACTTTTAGGTGTGAAACTGATATAATATATATAGTAACTACTTTAATTTTGTGATGGCAAGTTTACGTAAGAAATGGCAAGTATCAGTGGAAACCTCAGTAGGTAATGAATGACATATATTATTGATTTATCTAAATGGTGATTCTGATAAATTGCAGGACCGTGTCATATGTGTGTTTGTACAGTTTTCTACTTACCTAGGATATCCTTTATCATTGCTTCTATTTAGGTTATGCAGCTGATTGATTTTAATTGACAAGTTTCGGGAATGTCATTGCATAGTATGGTCCAAGTTAAATTAGGGAGTTTGGGGGGTACAGATTGGTAATGGTCTAGAATTTGGCACTACTCTCAGGAAGTGGCTACACACAGATTCAATCCTGTGTCCTCATGACTTTAGCACTAAATCAAAGAATGTCCGCTGAAAATTTTTCAGGATGACCTATGGTTCCGTTTTCAAAATTTGTGTTATTTCTCGTTAAATGAAAATTTGATTGGGTTTACCTATTTCTAATAGAAGAAATACAATATAGAAGAAAGAGAAGAGAAATGTGTAAAAGCTTGTGTTACGACAAACGCAGCGTACCAAGCAACAATTATGAAACACAATAGAAAAATAGACACACCACACAAAGATTTACACGTGGTTTAGCAAAGCCTATGTCCATGGTGGAGATCCGGCGAAAGTCTTCAGTAGGTTTAGTAGGTAAGGTAGAGTTTGGTGAAACACTTGGCAATGGTAAAGAGCCCAATACTTCCCAAAAATGGTCTTCCCTCTCATTACTCTCCCCCTAAAGAGTATTTTTCGTGAAATAGGGTTGAGTCTAAAAAACGGTCACATCCATACTCACAAAGAAGTTTTTAGAGGTGAGGTTATAACATTTATACCCTTTTTGTTGAGGAGAGTACACACTTTTCTGCCCTAGGATCAAGTTTTGAAGGGTCCCGTGTATGAACATGTACAAAAGCAGTGCATCCAAACACTTTAAGAGGTAATGAGGTGAAGATCCTAATATGGGGAAAAACTAACAGCAAGCTGTTTAGGGGTGTCTCAAATTTCAACACCCTAGTTGACATTCTATTGATCAAGTATGAAGCTGTAAGAACAGCCTCACCCCATAGATATTTAGGAACCCCCATAGTGAACATTATTTCCCTAGCAACCTCAAGTAAATGGTGGTTTTTTCTCTCAGCTATCCCGTTTTGCTGTGGGGTATCAAAGCAAGTGGACTGATGGAAAATACCATTTTCTTTCAAAAAATCACCAAGAATAGAGTTGAAGAATTCTTTTCCGTTGTTGGTTCTAAATACTTGAATCCGGGTTTGAAACTGGTTTTCAATCATGGCATAGAACTCTTTAAACAATCTCGCAGCCTCAGATTTTTTTCTCAAAAGATATACCCAACACACTCTAGTATGGTCATCAATGAAAGTGATGAACCATAATATTAAATAGAACAATTCAACAGATCCCCAATAATTTCAAATAAAGGAGGAATAAATCTGATTTTGATCAAACCAAGATGGCGGTTTGATCCGAAAGCACTGCCGAATATCCCGGCAGCTCTAATGAAAAACACTAAGGGAATACCCCTACATGGTCGAATCTAGAGGAGATTGGCTCCTCTTAGGACTGTCGCATCAGCAGCCTGAAGAAGAGAGGGAGTCTGTGATGAAAAGAAAGAGGAAAGGGGCTGTGACGAGATAGAGAGAGAGATTTGAGGCTCTGATACCAAAAAGTGATTTGGTAAAATTGGCGTACTCAATTTGAGAGCCTGACTATCATTATTATATACAAGTGGAAAATTACAAATATGGAAAGAGAATAAAAATCAAATTGAGAATAAAAATCAAATCCCTAAACAGAAGCCTAAACATAAGCCAAGACCCAATAAATCTGCCACAATCATTGAGTCAATCTATATATATATATGATTTCCAAGAGTAAGAAATGAAGCTACTTTGTTCATGAGGTTGAAAATCATGAATTCCATATTCATGACTCAATGTGAGATGATTTCTTGATGCGACATATGACTTGGAGTTTTTGTCATTCAAAAATCAGATTAATTCAGATTTTGTTTTATGATATGTGTTCAAGCAAGCTTCGGAAATCTTCTAAATTTAAAGAAAGAGCTCGGGAAATTCATCATATGATGCTCTTTGCTGGTGAAAGAAAATTATTGTGTTTTGTTCGAGTAAGGAAAAGAAGAAAGAAAGGATGGAAGACATTATCCGGGTTTTTAATAGATCGTGGTAAATTGTGAGGAGGGTCTGATGCAAATCAGTAATGGTGCTTTAGTTAGGATTGAGGCAGTCAATGGTGCCTTGAAAAGTATTTAGTCAAAGTCTAGTAAATAGTAATTATGCTGTGGAAATCTGAAGATGTCCTGGGAATAGAAGTTGTTATTAATGCTCTGTGGGTAGTCCAAAAGTCAGTCTAGAGAGAATTGAGGAGTCATTAATAGTCTTATTATAAAAGGACAGACCTCTATATCTGTTGTAATCAAGTCTTTATCAATATATTTTGAGGTATTTTCAGAGTTATAGACAGTTTCTTCAGGCTTTTCCTAGATTTCCCTTTAGAAATCTAGGCTCCGAAGGTGATTGGATCATTGGAGTATTCCTAGTCTCCCTTACAGTTGTAAGAAGACTTGTGTTTCTTTTTCTGTTTGCTTCAGTTTTTACCGGACCTGTGAGATACATTAGAGCATCTTATGCTGTATTTGCTTATGTAGCTTCCAATTGTTCTCTTTTTGTCCATTATGCATTTAGCATACTTACAAAAGATGCAGTTTTCAACTTCAAATGTTGTTTGTTAATTAGTTTTATTCTATGTTTAGGTCATCTTTTGCAATGAAGACCCTTGGCAATGATGAGATTGATTTGGAAGGTGGTAAGTTGGAAAAAGACACAGAAAAAACAATACGAAGTAGCAGGGTGGTTAAAATACACAACCAGGCCTTGTTATCTGGCCTTGCGTACTGCATTTCATCCTGTAGCATGATACTTGTTAACAAGTATGTCCTTTCCAGCTATGATTTTAATGCTGGGATATCTTTGATGCTTTATCAGGTTACTTTCTTTATTTAGTATATTTTATTTATCTTCTAATAGAGATAGGAATTCTGATGCAACAGTGATTTCATTTTTATTGACTTGATATAATATATATATATATATGTGTGTGTGTGTGTGTGTATTTTGTAACTAATGAGTTTCTTGTTGTGTTCTATTCTCTGGGTGCAGAATTTCGTTTCAGTGGTGATTGTGCTTATATTGAGCTTTTCTGGTGTAATATCAACAGAACCACTCACGTGGAGATTGATTAAGGTGTGGCTACCAGTGAACGTTATATTTGTTGGGATGCTAATCACAAGCATGTTTAGGTATGAAGTTTTTCTTTTGTTTTCACCATCCAGGTGGTTATCTTAGTTTGCGTTAGCCATTAGCTTATGTTTAGGTAATCCATCATGCTAAATCAGTCATTTGCCAGGCTTATCTTTGCATCCAAATATAGTATTATATATGCTTTTATATAATTTTTTTTTTGTAATTCAAGTATTTCATTGTTTCTCTTTAATTTTATTTTCTTTTTTGTGTTTTCAACACGTTCCATTCTTTGGCATAACAGAACAATGCTCTCAATGAGATTTAATACCTTGAAGATAACTGATTTGATCTTTAAGCTGATAGTAGTTTTCAAATCTGCTTAACTAGTTTAACTTTTCACTTGAATTTCTGGTTCTTAATTTAGAATGGAAGTTAGCTGTACTAGCTAATTCTCTTTCTTCCTCTAGTATATATAATAATTATTTTATTTAACCACTGCCATATTGTTTTATATTTAGTGTTTCCATGAGGTTGAAATTTTAAAAGATTTTTATGTGTTTTATTTTAACGTTGTGCACTGGTTGTATAGAGCAACTAGTCACTCCTTTTTCTTCTCTCTAGTCAAAATTTATATTTTTGGGACTGGATGATGAGGTATTTATTTTTATATGAAGCATGCTTTATCCATTTTGTATCTTTTCTTTATTTCTATTCTCTAAAAGATGGAATGTACTGAAAAAATTACTCCACAAGGAAACTTTTGGGTTTCAAAATTGTAATCTTTAACGCAAAAGAAACAGTTTTAAGTATGATGATATATTTTTATTAGATAACGATAATTGTTTTTAACGATAACTTTATTTTTAATCCAAGATGAGCTTTTACCTTTTGTACATAAGGTTAATGATATTATGATCTTTGTCACTGTCATGCACTTCAGTGGTAGATGGCTATATATAAAATCCAATAGTTATACGTATCTTCGATATGCATTCTGAGTATGTATGCTATTGGATTTGAATTCCTGCTTAACCTTATTCTCTTTCCCTTTTAGCTTTTTCTTTGTTTTCTTTTTTCTTTTTCCCCTACAAACCAGTTGCTATCAGACCTCCTGGTTTTATAGAACGCTTGCTCAAGTCTTGTGTACCAGATCAGATCTTTTAGCTCTACAGTTTTCCTTTACATGAATACTACATTCCAATTGCTTTATCAGTATTATTATTATTGTTAAAATTTGGATGCGGAAATAAGAAATGCAAATAGGAAAGGGAAGAGAGAAAGATGGAGAACACAAACATATACATGGTTCGGCACTAAGGCCTACATCCATGGACAAAGAGCCACTAAGGGCTACATTTTTATTATTCAGATATGTTTTGCTTGAGTACAAAGAGTCTATATATAGGCACGGTAAAGATAAGAAAATATGGAAGGTATACAATAGTCAAATGAGGCACCATGATTGGTGGAGGATTTTGCTCCACAATTATATAGAAATATTTATATATTTCAACAATTATTATTATTATTTTAGACTTCTGGTTGACTAGCTTACCGGGGTACATCCATCAATGATTTCTGTGCTGGATTCAGACCATTAGCACCAGTCATGCAATCATGGATTTTGGATAGATAAGACCTTGGAATTTGAAGTTCAACGGTTTACTGCCCCAAGAAGCCTGGATGCAAGGGTTCATTGTTTATTATTGACTTTTGTTAAGAAGATTTGGTAGACTGCTTAAATGCTTCAAACTTGCACTTTCCATTGCCTAGTGTAGTGGTAAAAGCTGTCAAGTGTGAGAATGTGGATTTGAATTGTTAGAGTAGTCACTTTGTGCAAATAATGCCAAAGGTTAGGTCTGTATCTAATTCGCTCTTCCATATACCCTTCATTAACGGGTAGCATAATGCATAACCCCTTTTATATTGAGACCGATAGAGCTGCTCAGGACCAAATCTCTCACTGGGGAATTTGGTGTTTTGGCCTTTTGTTATCTTGTGCAGATGTGAAAGCCAGAGTATTAGGACTATGCATCCCGGTGGTGATATGTAGGTGAATGCGGAATATCACTGTGGTTGGGATAATTTTGGACAATCTTAATTATTTCTGTTCCGTTTGATTGTTGAAGTTCTCTAATACTGGTGTGAAAATTTACCAGAGTTACCAGAGTTGATCTCTTGTTGTCTTGTTGAGTCATATCTAATGGAGGGTGTTGAACAACTTGTGTGCTGCATTGCGTGTCCAAGTTTTATGCTTGTCCGTGCCCATAATGTCCCTTAATTACTCAGAACAGCTAACAGCACTCCCATTTTAGAATGTTACTTAACTATGATCCATTTTTTTTTTTTTTTGTTGCAGTCTGAAGTACATTAATGTTGCTATGGTTACAGTCTTGAAGAATGTTACAAATGTGATTACTGCTGTTGGTGAAATGTATTTATTCAATAAGTACCACGACAACAGAGTCTGGGCTTCCCTTTTCTTAATGGTATGTTGAATGTCTAAACATATAAATTTTGGATGATACTTTCTCTGTCTATTTTGAACCCTTTTAGCATTTTTGAACAGGCATAGTCACTTAACTGGTCTTCTCATCTGCTGCGTAGTTGATTACATTTGATACCATGTCTTTGTATATTGTTTGTTATTTTATAAAAGCAGTCTTCCATATTATTGTTTGGTTAAAAATATAATCTGGATGTTATATTATGGTCCCATGAAATGTGACACAGTGAGAGAGGTGCACCTTGAAGTTCTGACAAGAATCAAGTATTCATTCGAGCAAAATTTGTTTTTCAAGATTTGTTTCTGTTGATTTTGAGGAGGGGGTGGGGGGTTGGGGTTAAAGTTGAATAGGATTTAGGGGACTAAAGCTCAGCTTATCTAGGAGGATTACTTGAATATACAAATAACATATTTACATTCTCTGGTGTTACAATAATCCAAATGGAATGCGAATTACTGTTAATTTCACCAACAATTTGCACGGAATGTACATATTATTATGATCTGCTATGGTAAACCCAAAACATTGTTGACTTTAAGAAAACCAAGTAACAGTAATTCAGGACCCACACATCAACAAGTATATTGATTAAAGTCATCAACAAACGCAACAATGTGACGAAAACCAAGTAATGAAGTATTAGATTCAGGACCCACACATCAGAATGAACAAGCTGTAAATGAGCTGTACTTTTATTAATACTAGTAGGATAAGAAACATGACATTATTTGGCAAGAACGCATGTTTCACAATTTAACTCAAAAGATTCAATAGAAGCAAACTGGGGAAGCATATGCTTCAAAACAGGAAAAGGTAAATGACCTAATCTATTATGCCATCGCATTAAAAGATCTTTATTGATATTACTATTCCTAACACTAGATTGATTTGCAACATAATAAGAAGTTAGCTTCACGTTCAACAAATACAAGCCATTGTTCTCACTTCCACTTCCAATCGTCTTCCCCGTGTCCAAGTCCTGAAACACACAGTGAGATGGAAAAAGGTTACACTACAATTCAAGCCTTTTGTAATGTGACTGACAGAAAGGAGGTTATTGGTAAACTTTGGGACATGAAGAATAAAGGATAAGGTGATTCGGAAAGGCAGAAACAATGCCCTTCCCCGCAATGGAGGTGAAGGTGCCATAAGCCACTCTAACCTTATCCTTAACAGAACATAAACTCTATGAAGAAAAATCAAATGCCATACCAATTATGTGATCAATGGCTCCTGAATTAATGATCCAGGGTGGCCCACCAAATAATGTGGAAACCTGATGTGCCGAATGAGAGATACCTTTCTGAGCGAAGTTAGAGGTGGAAATGGAGGCATGTTGTGCTAGTAAATGTTGGAGAGCATCAAGTTCAGCCTCGGAAAAAGAACTCGGTGGCCCTGAGGAGGCATGAGCAGTAGAAGCAGTCTCACGCTTTGCAGTATGTGTCGTAGGTAACCCTCTAAATGGACCAGGTCTTGGCCTAGCATTCGCATGGGCAGGAGCTGGAGTAGGGCAAACATGTAGATTCCAGCATGTTTCCTAGTGTACGCCCACAGTGATCACACCTTACCTTGCTCTTGTCATCCTGCTTCCCTCCTTTCGAAGGATTGGGTTTGATCCATTGTTGTGTGGCAAGAGTAGACCTCTCAGACAATGGTACTTCTGGCTCATGCTTAGTGTATACAGGTGTAGACATAGCCTTCATTTATTCTCCTCAGCCTGGATATACGAAATCACATCTCTAACAGAAGTGGGGGCTTGATACCTGCCTAACACTTGTAGCCTAGCATGCTCGTATCTCGGATGCAGACCACCCAAGAACTCATAGATTCGATTCCTTTCTACCATAGCATGAATTGCTTTAACATTAGCTGCACGCACAAGTATGTAGTCTTGGTAGTGATCTAACTCTTCCTATTTACCACGTAGAGTGTGGTAATATGTAGCAAGAGTTTGGTCCTCCTGCTTGAATCTTGAAATATGTTGTTGGAGTTCATACAGTTTTGCAAAATTACCAACCGAGGAATACGTCTCTTCCGCAGCCGTCCATAATTCTTTAGCTGTTTTCACAAACAGAAACCCTTTGTTGATATGTGGCTGCATTGGCTGCATTGACTCCAACAACCACGTCATAAATAGTGCATTATTTGCACTCCACTCTTTGAATTCATGATCACTCTTGGAGGGATACGTGACAGTCCCTTTGATATGGTCGATCATCGTACTACCAGTGGTATGCATATGAGCAGATTGAGCCCACTCCATATAGTTTGTCTCATCCATCCTAACAGTCGTAATACAAAGGCCTGGATGTTGATCACTACTACCACCCAATACTGGAGTTAGACTAGGAGAAGACCCAACCTTTTTTGAAGTCACCTCTGAGCTAGACATTTTATTAAACAGTTTCTGGGTATACAATCCTCAGAAACAAAAGCAACAACAAAATATGTAGAGAATCACCTCTCTAATACACAAACTTCAACTAGAAAGATTACCGTCTTCTGAGATGCATAAAAAAGCGACCACGTAGTCACCACACAAACCCTAGAAAGCAACAAAGTAGACCATACCAGAATTGCGAACGACGAAGAAAAAGCCGCTATTGCAGAACCATGCGAACACGTAAAAAACACCAATCGAGACTGCAACAGATCAAAAACAGGTCCAAAAAATCCGCGGTACGAGTGGGTGTGATTAACACTACTTGCAAACAAATTCCATCTTGGAATCTCTTCAAAACCCTTCACACCTGCTAGGGTTTACACAAACTTGCCCTAGGGGTTCAACTACACACTTAGAGCTTTACAAACCATGCTTTGATACCATGTTGACTTTAAGAGATAATCAAATCAAGAGTAAAGTATAAGAAGAAGAAGAAAAAGAGAAGAAAGAGTATGAGAGAAAAAGAGAGAGAGATGGGGAAAGAGAGAAAGAATGAGAAGAATACTTTCATCCTTCCACCACATTCTATTTATACTAACAAATTTCAAAAATTACACATAAGCCCCAATATTATATAAGTAATAACAAATAAGCCCTTGACAACATACATACTTCTCCGAAGAGTCTTTGTAAAATTTCGCTAACTTCCGTTCATTTTTGACTTAATGAGAAATCCAAACCCTTTGTTACCACGTACTCTCTGAAGCTTTATATTTTAATCTATCACACATGCACAGATATAGTTTACCTCTTTTCTTTGACTGATATTTGATTAGGGAAGGTTGATGAGACATTATGCTTCTATTATGCAGATTATTTCAGCCATCTCCGGAGGAATCACAGATCTATCTTTCCATGCTGTTGGTTATACGTGGCAGATTTTTAATTGTTTCTTAACAGCATCATACTCTGTGAGTATTTTGGTTGGTTATTTTGATTTCATTTATACACGAAGCCTTAGGATTCCATTTCATCTTCGTCAGTCTTTTATGGCTTGGCTTATAATAGTTGCCTATTCTATCATTGAACACAGCTATAAATGCCTTTTTTTTTCTTTCAATTTTGCTTTCCTTATACTGTTACACAATATGTATATTATTTTCAATCTATACTTTGATTCGAGTGGTGGAGATTTTCATGTTCCAAAAAGTTGTCCCTTGTTTTCTTTACAACATTTAATTTGACTCAACCTTATCAAATTTGCTACTTACCAGTTGTAAGTGAATTAAGGAAATCAGAGACTATATTTCGGTTTACAAGATGGCAATGAATTAATTGTAATTGGTTTGAACCTTAGGTCTCAACTCACTTGAAGTTTTGCTTGAAGCTATTAAACTGGGAAGACATTTGTAGATTTGGTGTTTCCTTTTCTTGTGGTAGACACAGCCGTAGACAATGCCAATCTGAAAGCGCTCTCTCCACAGGAGCTGTAATTTGAAAATAACTACTATATGAATATTATAGTACTCAAAAGAAGCTATGATACGAGCAGCTCAAACAGCCTTCGGAAGAGCCTCCTTGTGTGGCACTTTGATACTTGAAGTTCATAGTGTAGCATAGTTGAAAATGTTACTAGGCTTGGAAAGATTAGGGTTTGAGATAGAAAGAGAAAAAGAGAGAAGTCATAGGAAAAGGGTTCAAGAGAGTAATTTCTCATCTATTTATATTATTGAATAAGCAACAATCACAAAAATACCCCAAGCACTAATTACCCGAATATTCGAATATTCCAGCACTCTCCCTCAAGTTGGTGCGTATATATCTATCCATATTATTGCAGTACATATTTGGGTGCAATTGTTTGTGCATTACAATTTAATTAGCTTCCGGTATATATGACTCCTTGTTCCTATGTGTATATGCATACTGGCCTCAGTTCTTCAGCGCTCAGCCAGCCGTAATTGAGGACTCAACTGGATACCACTTTGACACCAGTGTGCGATTGCAATATAAATCAAGCATAAAGACAAGCAAATGGGATGGTATTTCCCAAACAAGCCACTCGAAAGTTTAATCAATCCAAAACCATGTACTAGTAGCTTTGTAGCTAGATTTCCCTCCAAAAATTTGATTGCAAATGTGGTATAAAACGGGCCTTCAGGTAGTCAAAATTTTTGTTTGCTTCTCATAGGAGAGAAACCACAGAGGATGGACTTAGAAGTTACTGGGCAATGTGGCCATGCCAGTCTTTCTACACTTACCTCCCCAATATAAATATTGCATTTGATGCTTCTCACCAGCCACACTATTCAAGTAATTCAAGCAATTAAGTGGATCTACTAATATAATTGACATCTTTTTATTTCACTTGCTTTATTTTTTCCCTTCAACTGGGATCCCCCTCCACTGAAAGATGGGGTACTCAACAGATCCACGGGAGTCACTTTGCTTTTGGGGTACCATAATGAATCCTTGTATGCTGATTTCTCTTATTTGGGTATATCTGTTTATCAGCTGTCTCAGATATTCATTACCTTCTTGTTGTTCAGTCTCTTTAATGTTTTCACCTCAATGTGGCTGATGTCTTTTTTATCATCAAAACTTTCTGTTGCAGTTAACACTACGTAGAGTCATGGATACAGCAAAGCAAGTCACGAAATCTGGAAACTTGAACGAGTTCTCAATGGTCTTGCTCAATAACACCCTCTCATTGCCGCTTGGAATTATTCTTATTTTAATGTTTAACGAGGTGGACTATCTCTCTAGAACGTGAGTTTTCTGGCTTTCTTTTTCTTCTATATGGTGGTAACTCATTTAAATTAAGTATCCTGCAAAATAAATTCTTTGCTGTTATTCTCCTTTTCCAAATTTATTTTGTGATGTATTGGTGTATGCTCTTTCAATGATTTCAATGTGGATGTCAATTCCAATGACTTCAATGGACCTAGCCCATTTGTCTCATTTTTATTATATACATACATATACGTACACATATGAGAGTGGGTCTTGATGCAATCGTAAGCTTGCTATATTGTGACCTGAAGGTCACATGTTAGAATCAAGGAAACAGCCTCTCCGCGCATGTGGAGGTAAGGCTGTGTACCTCTGACCCTCCCCAGACCCCGTAATGGTGGGGCCTCGTGCATTGTCCTAGCCCTTTATATATACATAAATATAACTTTTAGCAAAGATATGGAAAACAACTTTTAGAACATTTCAAGACATACCAAATGCAGGTTTTCCTTTTTTTACTATTTGTATAAAAAGATAAAGCACGCATCTTCAACCCATCAGGTTTTCAACTGTCACAACTCACAAGAACTACGCTGTACTTTTATAAGAAAAGGACTCCAACTCCCGAGAGAGTTTCCAATACTGAGATGCAACCTTGGCTTTGTTATGTTCAATTGTATATAGCTTTTGCTAGATATTTTGATATCATTATTTGACTGCAGTTGAGATTGTGAATTTTGTTTCTAGGATTGGAGAAAGGAGGATAAGAGGTGGAGGAGAAGAAGAGAGACGAGAAAAAATAATTGTAAAATAGAATCTGATCAACATCAGGAATTCTACACCACTCTCATTTATATATATATATATTGTTGAAATATATAAATATTTCTATATAATATTGGAGCAAAATCCTCCACCAATCGTGGTGATCCGATCAATTTCCTTCCAACTATAAATATTTCTATATAATGGTGGAGCAAAATCCTCCACCAATCACGGTGCCTCCTTTGACTATTGTACACATTCCATACATTCTTATCTTTACCATGCTTATATATAGGCTATTTATACTCAAGCAATATACTGATCTGAATAATAGAAATGTAGGCCTTAGTGGCTCTTTGTTTATGGATGTAGGCCTTAGTGGCTGAACCACGTAATATCTGTGTTCTTCTTGTTTCATTTCTCTCTTCACTTCTATTTCAACATGGTATCAGAGCCAAGTTCTTGTAATCCCATCTAGAATTTGAGGGGAAGTATTGGAATTATTATCATGGAGCATATTCTCTATGAGTAGAAATATATAAAAAGAAGAGAAAAGAGAGAATTGCGTAAACGCTTGAATGAGATGATTTACTCATTCACAGTTCTAGTATTTATAGATAAAATGAGCACATGCTCATATTACAAGAAAAGAAACTAAATCAAATCAAAATCAAATCACAACTTATTCTAAAGCATATTCTATGGCATATTCTATAACATAGTCAAATCTCTGCTATTATGGTAAGTCATACCATAAATCGTGGTATCATATATATGCTATTATATGCATAGTCAAATCTCTGCTATTATGGTAAGTTATACTATAAATCGTGGTATCATAAATGCTAACACTATGTCTTCACATTTCTTTCTCGGCGTTGTTGCGGCTTTTCCCGGCATTGTTCCGTCCATTTCCCGGCTTAGTTCCGGCTTTTCCTGGCGTTATTCCGGCTTTTCTCGGTTTAGTTCGGCCTTTTCCGGCTTAGTTCCGGCCTTTCCCGGCATAGTTCCGGCCATTCCCCCAACGTTGTTCCGGCCATTTTCCCTGGTGTAGTTCCGGCCATTTTCCCCTGCAAATTGCAGTTTATTTTCCCCAGTAAGATCTGGTCAATTTCTTGGCTTTATTCTGGACACCTTCTCATCATATTTCGAGGCATTTCTTTAGCAAGTTGGGCATTTATGATATTCATGCTCCAACTTGAGGGGGAGTGTTGAAATATATAAATATTTCTATATAATTGTGGAGCAAAATCCTCTACCAATCTTGCTGATCCGGTCAATTTCCTTCTAACTATAAATATTTCTATATAACGGTGGAGCAAAATCCTCCACCAGTCACGGTATCTTTTTTGACTATTGTACACCTTTCATATATTCTTATCTTTCTCATGCCTATATATAAGCTATTTGTACTCAAGTAATATACTGATCTGAATAATAGAAATGTAGCCCTTAGTGGCTCTTTGTCCATGGATGTAGGCCTTGGTGCCGAACCATGTATATGCTTGTGTTCTCCATATTTCCCTTTTCCTATTTGCATTTCTTATTTCTGCATCCAAATTTAACATATATACATATTGAGATAGCAAGATTACATAAATTCCCTTGGCCATTAAACAATACTATACAAAGCTCATGCTATTAACAAATAGAGAATTTTTTTTCCTAGTTGATCCTCGCACACCCCCCAAGGAATTGTTTGCACCCAAGAGGATTTGAACCTTAGATCCGATGCTTCTTGAGGCACCGGCGCCAAGTTCTTACCCACTTGCGCCAACCCCTTGGGGTTAACAAATACAAATTAAACATGCCTAGCTTGAAACACAATTGCTGAAATGAACCACGAGCTAACAGTTTTGTAAGAGTATCCTTCAACTGATATTCTGAGCAAATATAGGGAGTAACAATCTGTTTTCGCAACAACAAATCTCAAATAAAATGCGAGTCAACGTTTATATGCTTGGTGCGCTTGTGGAAAACAGGATTGCTAGCATTAAAGATAGCGGCATGATTGTCACAATGCATCTGCAAGAGAATCCCAAATCTTCATAGAAGGATCGCAAAATTCAACTATAGTGGCAATATGGGGTTGCTATGTTAAAACCATCCCATTACAATAGAATCCTTACACATCTGATCGTCATACTCCCCAACCTTTGTGTTATCAGGATGATTTCCAGTCAAATACTTCAATTTTCTTCGACCACACAAGAAAACTTGCACAACATGGGCCCAAGCAAAGTAATTAACACCATTCAATTTTTTTGAAGTAATCAACTTAGGCATATTATCATCCTCGAGGTTTGTTGTTTATCGTCATCCATGGGTAAAAAAATTACTTCAAAATTGGATCAGTAACTTCAAAAATAGAGTGCAAAAACTGGTTGGCAAGGTTCAGATGAATCTGGTTGGATCTTAACCAACAAAAGAAACTAACACCAACCCACCCACCCCCCCCCCCCCCCCCCCCAAAAAAAAAAAAAAAAGATTGAAACCAACTGGGCCAAAATATAGAAAGTTTTGAAAATTACAAACACCTCAAATAGCTTCAAAATGAATCAAAAACACCACCACAAATCCCAGAAAATTCAGGTGATCTCAGCTGTATAGTTCTTGAACGGTATCTGCAAACATCAGCATGCCATCTGATGTTCTGCAACTTGATATGGATGAATTCTGCTCTCAATACACTACTTTGATACCAAGTTGAGATTGTGAAACTGTGTTTCTAGGGTTGGAGAAAGGAGAAGAAAAAGAGGAGGAAAAGAAGAAGAGAGAGGAGAAGATTATAAAATAAAATCTGATTTACATCAGAATTCCACCACTTTCATATATATATATATATACCCATACTCTAACAAGTACGATAGACCCCCCCTTGATTTTTCAACTGTAAAACATTTTCAGATTTGAATAAGCTGTACATTATACCCCACCTTTTGGATTATGCATATCACATCACCTCCTCTTCCTCTGCATTTCAACTACTCTTTCTCTGAGTTGGTATTTTCTTCTCCTTAAATCACCATTTTTCATCCTAGTGCATCCTTTTCCCCACATTATAAACCTTCCCTGCTATGTAAATTGCAATCTTGTTGTCTTGATTCTTGCTGAAGACATCACAATGGTTTTTCTTGAATTTCTTTCTACTTACATTAAATGTTCTATTAGCTGTATCTGCTGCTAAATATTATCACCCGTTTCCTGTGCTTAATCCCTCTTCTTTTCTCTTCCTTTTCGATATATCTTATTGATTCATGCATTATATTATGAATGGCAGACCACTTTTGAGGATGCCTCTCTTCTGGTTGGTGGTGACATTCAGTGGATTTTTGGGCCTAGCAATCAGCTTCACATCTATGTGGTTTCTTCGTCAAACTGGGCCAACTACATACAGGTAAGTATATATGCTAAATGATCCAAACTATGGTTTGTGGTTTCTATGTTTATTTTCAGCAGTTGCAACTTGTGCCAGTCCCAATTTCATTTAGATGGCCCAATCCCAGGCATGAATTTGTTTTCTTTTTTGGTTTATTTTAGTATTGCAGTGATTCATGGCAAAAGCTGAAATTTATACTTCATTGGGGATTGGGTAGGATGTTAGATTGGGACTCTGGCTGGGTACTGGGTAAGCTATGAGTTTGGTGCACTAGAGCTTGGCTGTGTTTTAGTAGATGATGGTAGAAGTTGTCACTATATTTGCGTATTAAATTAATTTTTCATAGGTTTAACATATTTGAATTCTTTTGTTTCTTGTTCATGCTTTCCTATCTGCAGCCTTGTGGGATCACTGAATAAGATACCTCTCTCTGTTGCCGGCATCCTTCTTTTCAAAGTCCCTACCAGTCTAGAGAACTCTGCAAGCATTTTCTTCGGTAAGTTCTGTCCTTCTAACTACTTCAAAATGTTGGGTTCTTTGAGAAAACTCAAAAGCAGAGGCTTGAACTGTCTTTTGTAGGTCTGTTGGCGGGAGTATTTTTTGCTAGGGCAAAAATGCGGGAGAAATCTCAACCTTAACAAGTTGGAAGCTGCAATGCATCCGTACACTGGTCCCTTGACTAAAAGTATGTCTTATGGTTGTCTACTTTCATCACTTAATATTTCACATCATCAAAACACAGAACATGCAAACAGGAGAGGAGTAGGGAAATCTTTTTTCTGAGTAATTGAGATTTAGCTATTCAAAGTTCACTTGTTACTGCGGAGAAGGGTGCTTTTCGGTGTGCTTTTGTGAGGAGAACACTTCTTATTCTTTCTCAGTCGTATCTGTATTGTAATGGGAACACACTTCCCTCCCTTTTACTATGTTGTTAGATTAGTCAACATTTGACTGAAATTTCAAATGATCTAATATATCAATGTCCATTATGTTTTGCTGAACGAAAGAAATACCATACAGCTTTGATAATTCATAGAGAAGACGCATTTCTTTTTGCACCAAGTCTACGAGTGTTTGTTTTTCTGCCTCTCTTTATATTGTGATGCCAAGAAGTGAGGTTCAATTGATGAACATTTTTACATGTTGCTTAGCAGATCAGTGAGACACTAGATTATTAGTCTAATTGATTTTCCCATTATAAGGTGAGGGTCATGGATGCATATAGACTTTGCACTTGTCTTGTGATCCTAGTGTATAAACTCAATTGTTGTTGTGGTTCTACATTCACAACTGAGCTTACAAGTGTGGTGGTGGTGGTGGTTCTTGTGTCTTCTACATTCACAACTGAGCTTACGAGTGTGGTGGGACTAGGGTAGGGTGCTCATCCTAGGTTTCATTTGTCACATATACTAATATTCTAATTAATCCGAATTTGGAAGGAAATAACAATTTTAAAAAAGATAATATTCTGGGAAATTTAGATGAAGTATTGAAATAGCCGAGTAAAAAATATTTTTTCTCTTCACACGTGCTCCTTGAGAGAAGGATAATTTCCAGTACAGAGAGAGGGAGGGTGTAGATAATGGAGATCACCCCGGATACAGGTTCGCACTCCTTGTGGCTTCTACACTCATGAGTAGATATAGAATAGTGGGAGAGTTATTGAAGTGCGAGTGAGAGAGTTACAAAATTCAAATTTGCTGTACGTTTTTATGCTGTTATATATGATGTTTATATAATATACAATCAAAGATTGTAATTTAGTGGTACCTTTTGACCTTCTAAGTCCATCGTTTAAGTCGTCGTGGAAGTAAAAATAGGTGTATGAATTTGTTGCCAAAATAATAAAAATACGTAACATTCAGAATTGTAGTACTTAATTTATAGTAATTTTTTATAAAATATAAATGTTATAATGTATTTTTTTATTTTCAAACTAATATAAAGCAAGGAAATATGTACATTTATTTTAATTTCTTTGAAGAATATTGATTTATTTTTAAACATGAAAGGATCTTTATGAATTTTAAAAGAATAAACATCTATACGATTATAATATGCGAGTGTAGCGGTTGATGGGTCTATTTCAGGGGTTAAAGTTTGACAAATTAATCAAGGTAAATGAGATTTTGAATGTGTGTATTAGAGAGGTTAACAGGCTAGGGAGGTTATTATGAATTCATTTTGCAAGCTTTACAAGTTATTTTAAATCATTTTGATAACTAAAATGATTTAAGTTATGGTGGTCAGACTCCAAACTAATCAAAAAAAAAAAAAAAAAAAAAAATTTGTTAGGTGAGTTGGGATCTAAAATAGATGGGGGCTTCGGATTCAGAGATGGTTGCATTTCACACTTCTCTTTTTGTCAAACATGGCTAGCACTTTGTGACTCAAGACAAGTCTCTCCTCCTGTTTCATGTTTTATAAATAAAACAAACTATTTTCCAAATAATTCTTTCATCGATGTTGAAGTGTATGTTATAGCAGAGAGATGATGAAGAAGGGTATCATTGGGGCATTATTCAGTGACTTAATTGGTACAACGATCAGCTTCTGGAGTAGGTGCGTCGGTGTTAGAGTTTTTTTTCCCTCCTAATTTGTCAGGATAAAAAAAAAAAAAAGTTTACTAAAATTGCTTCTCAGTGAGTATGGTGGAATAGATCAACAAGTTTAGGCCTTTTCAAATAATAGGTTATTTTCAGTGATAAATCAACTTATAGGCTTGCTCTTAAGCATATTTTTGAGACATTATGGCACTCTAATAGGATTTTTGCCGAAAAATTCTGTTGTTCCGCTCTTCCCATGTGTGGTAGACCATAGAAGAGAAACTCGAATAAGTTTAACTCAAAACTTTAATTTTTTTTCAAAGATTCAATCTTTATACATTAAAAACATCTAGTGACTTAAAATGTACCTTGAGTTAGGTATTTTCATTCAATGATTCAATCTTTACTCATTAAAACACTCTTCGTGATTTTAAAGGGAACTTAAAAGTTTAACTCAAAACTTTCATTTTCATTCAAAGATTCAATCTTTATACATTAAAAAGATCTGGTGAATTAAAAGGTACCTTGATTGAGGTATTTTTAGTCAAATATTCAATCTTTACTCATTAAAACACTCTTCATGACTTCTAAGGTAACTCGAATAAGTTAAACTAAAAACTTTCATTTTCATTCAAAGATTCAATCTTTATACATTAAAAAGGTCTAGAAACTTAAAAGGTACATTCATTGAGGTTTTTCATTCAAATATTAAATCTTTACTCATCAAAACATTCTTCTTTACCTCAAAGGGAATTCGAATAAGTTTAACTCAAAACTCTCACTTTCTTTCAAAGAATTGCTTCCATTAATATTTGGCTAGGCAGTGTCTCTCCTGTACAGAATGTAAGCAATTCTTTAATGTGAATGTAATCAATTCTTTATTTGTCTTGATGATTGATACTTGATTTGTGTGCTAGTTCGAGACCAGTTGTACCCATTTAATTGATTATGCTAAGATAGCAAAATATTTGATGACGGTTCACTCAAAAGGATGCTAGAGTTGATTTGATTTGCATGATTATCTTACTTGAAAAGATAATTAAATAAGTTTAACTCAAAACTCTCTTTTTTTTCCAAAGATTCAATCTTTATACATTAAAAAGGTTAAGTGCCTTAAAAGGTACCTTAATTTAGGTATCTTTATACATTAGTTTTCAAAAGGCTTGTTGCATATGCTGACTGCAACCGTGATCTCTACAAAAACGGTGTTATCCTTTAATTGCTTTAAACTTATTCGAGTTCACTTTGAAGTCACAAACAGTGTTTTAATATCTAATGATTGAATCTTTGAAGGAAAATACCTCAATTAAGAAAACTACCTCAAGTATGCCATTTTTCAACCATTTTTAAGTAATTCTCAAAATTCTAACAACAATCATGTAAATATGGTCCGTCACACATCAAGTAAGATAATCATGCAAATCAAATTAACTCTAGCATCCTTTTTAGTGAACCGGTATCAAATATGATGCTATTTTAGCATAATCAATGAAATAGGTACAACCGGTCTCAAACTAGCACACAAATCTAGTACTAATCATCAAGACAAATAAATAATTGCTCACATTCACAATAAAGAATTGCTTACATTTCGTGGAGGGGAGACACCGCCTTAACAAACATCCATGGAAGCAATTCTTTAATGTGAATGTAAGAGTTTTGAGTTAAATTTATTTGATTTCCTTTGAAGTCACATATAGTGTTTTAATGAGTAAAGATTGAATTTTTGGATGAAAATACCTCAATTAAGATACCTTTGCATTCACTAGAGCTTATTAATGTATAAAGAATGAATTTTTGAAAGAAAAAGAGAGTTTTTAGTTAAACTTATTTGAGTTCCCTTTTTAGTCATGAAGAGTGTTTTAATGAGTAAAGACTGAATCGTGGAATGAAAATACCTCAATCAAGGTACCTTTTAAGCCGCTAGATCTTTTTAATATATAAAGACTGACTCTTTCAAAGAAAATGAAAGTTTGGAGTTAAACTTATTTGAGTTCCCTTTGAAGTCACGAAGAGTATTTTAATGAGTAAAGATTGAATCTTTGAATGAAAATACCTCAATCAAGGTACATTTTAAGTCACTAGACCTTTTTAATATATAAAGATTGAATCTTTCAAAGAAAAAGAGAGTTTTGAGTTAAGATTATTCGAGTTCCCATTGAAGTCACGAAGAGTGTTTAAATGAGTAAAGATTGAATCATTGAATCAAAATACCTCCATCAAGGTACATATTAAGTCACTAGACCATTTTAATGTACAAAGATTGAATCTTTGAAAAAAATGAAAGTTTTGAGTTAAGATTATTCGAGTTCCCATTGAAGTCACGAAGAGTGTTCTATTTATTAAAGATTGAATCTTTGAATGAAATACCTCAATCAAAATACATTTTAAGTCACTAGACCTTTTTAATGTATAAAGATTGAATCTTTGAAAGAAAATTAGAGTTTTTAGTTAAACTAATTCAAGTTTCCATTGAAGTCATAAAGAGTGTTTTAATGAGTAAAAATTGAATCTTTGAATGAAAATACCTCAATCAAGGTAACTTTTAAGTCACTAAACCTTTTTAATGTAAAAAGATTAAATATTTGAAAGAAAATGAAAATTTTGAGTTAAACTTATTCGAGTTCCCTTTGATGTCACGAAGAGTATTTTAATGAGAAAAGATTGAATCTTTGAATAAAAATACCACAATTAAGGAACCTTTTAATTTATTAGACCTTTTTAATGTATAAATATTAAATCTTTGAAAGAAAATGAGTATTTTTAGTTAAACTTAATGAGTTTTCATTGAAGTCACAAAGAGTTTTTAAGCGAGTAAAGATTGAATTTCTAAATAAAAATACCTCAATCAAGGTTCCTATTATGTCACTAGGCCCTTTTAATGTATAAAGATTCAATCTTTAAAAGAAAATGAGAGTTTTGAGTTAAATTTATTCGAGTTCCCTATGAAGTCGCGAAGAGTATTTTAATGAGTAAAGATTAAATTTTTGAATGAAAATATCTCAAATAAGGTACCTTTTAAGTCACCAACCCTTTTTAATGTTTTAAGATTGAATCTTCGAAAGAAAATGAATGTTTTTAGTTAAACTTATTCGAGTTCCCTTTGAGGTTACGAAAAGTGTTTTGATGAGTAAAGTTTGAATCTTTGAATGAAAAACCTCAATGAAGGTACTTTTTAAGTCACTAGACCTTTTAAATGTATAAATATTGAATCTTTGAAAGAAAATGAGAGCTTTGAGTTAAACTTATTCGAGTTTCTATTAAAGTCACAACTAGTGTTTTAATGAGTGAAGATTGAATCTTCGGATGAAAATATCTCAATCAAGGTATTTTTAAGTCACTTGAGCTTTTTAATGTATAAAGATTGAATCTTTGAAAGAAAAAGAGAGTTTCTTGTTAAACTTATTCGAGATCCATTTCTAGTCACGAAAAAGTGTTTTAATGAGTAAAGATTGAATCCTGGAATGAAAATACCTCAATCAACGTTCTTTTTAAGTCACTAGATTTTTTTAATGT